TACCCAGAAACAGTCACCAAAACACATATTAGCCAGTGTAATTATTTAGGTCTGGGCTGGATTCTGTTGCATGCAAATAAATCAAAGTTTCACAAAACTTTGCAAAAACAAGAGTCAAATCACTTCCAAAATGTCTAAAACAACAGAAAATGTCTCCCTCAAAGTGAAACAGGTGTTTTGTTCTTGCACAAAAAGTATTTACTTGATACAGTACCATTGCCTCATTCACAAAGTCACTAAGGTACAACTGTTCAAATAAAGTAAAAAAAAAAAGACAGCACAATAAAACCATATAAAAAAGATATAAGAGAGCTGGACTACTACTGTACAATACTGAAATGCATTGAACTTGCTATCAAGCAGTTCCTTATTTTCACAAAGTAAGAGCTAAGGAAAAGCAATAAATAACAAAAGGGTTGCTTACTGCTTACCATTTTTCTCCACTCTTGTTAGAGGTTTTACACCTGAAAACACATCTGCCAGTTCGGCCATCCTTTCCGATCCCTCTTTTCTGTAGCTTTCCCATTTTGATTGCTTTTCTGATAACATCTGCTTAAACATCTAATGAATAAACAAAAGGAATTCTTGGTTTAAATCAGAAAAGTAAAGGCAAAATTGCAGCAATACCAACGTTATGCTTTAATATCAGTTGATCCCTCTAGATACAGGTTGAGTCTCCTTTATCTAAAATGCTTGGGACCAGAAGTGTTTTTGATTCCGGATTTTGGAATACTTGTATTTGCATGGAAGAATACAAACAGGTATAAGGAAATGGGACCCAAATTAAAGTATGCTTCATCAATACTTTCTACACATAGCAATTTAATGCACAATAGTTTTAACAATTGTGTGCCTGAAACACAGTTTGTGTATATATTGAACCATCAAAAAGAAAAAAAAAGTTATCACCATCTCAGCCATTCAAATTGAACATGTTGGAGTATTTTAGATTTTGGAATTCCAGACAAGGGAAACTCAATCTGTATTAGAAAAAAAAAACTGTATAGCAGTAAAGATCACTGTATGATATCAATGGAATCCCTTGGGAAGGCAGGCGGACAAATGTCAGCGTGCTGGAAGAAGCAAAGACCATCAGCATTGAAGCGATGGTCCTCCACCATCAACTCCACTGGACTGGCCACGTTATCCAAATGCCCAATCACTGTCTCCCAAAGCTGTTTCTCTACTCCGAATTCAAGTACGGGAAATGGAATGTTGGAGGACAGGAAAAGAGATTTAAAGATGGGCTCAAAGCCAACCTTAAAAACTCTGGCATAGACACTGAGAACTGGGAAGCCCTGGCCCTTGACCGCTCCAGCTGGAGGTCAGCTGTGACCAGCAGTGCTGCAGAATTTGAAGAGGCACGAATGGAGGGCGAAAGGGAGAAATGTGCCAAGAGGAAGGCGCGTCAAGCCAACCCCAACCGGGACCGCCTTCCACCTGGAAACCAATGTCCTCACTGAAGGAGAACATGTGGATCAAGAATAGGGCTCCACAGCCATCTACGGACGCACCATCAAGACACCACATCTGGAAGACAATAATCCTCGGAGCTATGAGGGATCACCTAAGTAAGTAATCAATGGAATAGCTGAAGACGGAAGAAAATATGAAATACTTTAAAATGTCTTTAGAAGAAAAAATGATTGTGCAACTGAATGCTGTAAGGAATTTTCAAGGGAAGTTTCTACCTTCTTCACAGAGTTCTTTCCCATGCATGTGCGCATATATACATACATACACACACATACGCGCGTGCGCGCTAGCGCATATACACCTGAGCATGCAAAACTGCTAGCTAGGTATTTTACCTCTTTCAAGATGAATTCAAATTGTGCCGTATCCAGGAGAAGCTGGAAAAGTATTTTGGGATTGTACTTGGAATCTGTTAAAACTTGGTCTTTTATTTGCCGAAGGCGCTTGTTATTGGGATCATAACCTAGAGCGAAATAGAAGAAGAGAATGACAAATGCTTTTTCCAGAAACAGAGGAACTCTTTTAAAAATTACCATGAATACAGCACATATAACCGACTCAAATCTGGAACAAACCCAGGATTGTGCTTTACAGTGTTGTGACTGGCAGGGGGTTGGACTAGATGGCCGTGTGGCCTCTGCCAATTCTATTATTCCATTATTATTGATGTGCTCTTTTAAATTATGAGGAATGTGAACAAGCCGAAACAAGGCAAGGCATTACCCAAATCGGCCGTATGAAGCATCAGCCATCGGATGGCCACGTTGCAGTCCCTCAGGCAGTTCAGCAGCTTGGGGATGTTGTCCAGCACCAGCTCCTCTCTCAAGCAGCCTTCCTTCAGAAACTGCTGGACCTGAGTGTGGACACGTGCTGTGACCGCAGCAGACCGGCTGGCCTTTGGGGACAGAAAAACAACAACAATGGAGCATCAGCAGAAAAGGAGGACAATGGGGAGGGAACACAATTGCAAGAATAGAAATACTTCCAACCAGGAGCGTATCAAGTTTTGGAACACATACCAATAAACAGCTAGTGATATCAATATTTTGCCTGTCATTACCCCACTGTTCCCCCCCCCCCTTATATCTTTGAAACTGCATCCAGATTTCCCTATTCATGGATTCTACACCCACAGATTCAACCACCCATGGATATAAAACAGGCCCGGGCAAACTTGGGCTCTCCAAGTTTGCAGAAGCATACGAGAAGCTTGGCCTCTCATTGAACATTGAGAAAACTAAAGTGCTCTTTCAGCAGTCACCAGCCAATCCCTCTGCAATGCCAGGAATACAGCTTAATGGTGCAATGTTAGAAAATGTTGTCCATTTCTGCAACCTTGGCAGCCACCTCTCCACAAAACTCAACACTGACACTTAAATACAACATGGCCTGAGCTCTGCAAGTGCAGCATTTTTTCAAATGAAGCAGAGAGTGTTTGAGGATGGAGACATTTGTAGGGATACCAAGTTGCTTGTTTATAAAGCCATTGACCTCTCAACACTGCTATATGCTTGCAAAATGTGGACTGTCTACAGACGTCACACTCAACTCCTGGAAATGATTCCATCAGCGCTGCCTCTGAAAAATCCTGCAAATCTCTTGGGAAGACAAGCAGACAAATGTCAGTGTGCTGGAAGAAGCAAAGACCACCAGCACTGAAGCATGTTCCTCTGCCATCAACTCTGCTGGACTGGCCATGTTGTCTGGATGCCCGACCACCGTCTCCCAAAGCGGTTGCTCTACTCCGAACTCAAGAATGGAAAACAGAAAGTTGGTGGACAGGAAGAGAGATTTAAAGATGGGCTTAAAGCTAACCTTAAAAACTGTGGCATAGACACCGAGAACTGGGAAGCCCTTGCCCTTGAGCACTCTAATTGGAGGTCAGCTGTGACCAGCAGTGCTGTGGAATTCGAAAAGGCACAAATGGAGGGTGAAACATGCCAAGAGGAAGGCGTGTCAAGCCAACCCTAACTGGGACCACCTTCCACCTGGAAACCAATGTCCTCACTCTGGAAGAACATGTGAATTAAGAATAGGGCTCCACAGTTACCCACATATCTATCGCCAAGACACTACACTCGGAAGGACATCATTCTCAGGCTTCAAGGGATTGCCTAAGTAAGTAAGTATTTAAATTTTTCCCACCTTTCTCCTGATACAGGGACACAAGGTGGCTAGCAGCAAACATGACATAATACAATTGAAACAGAGCAAATGCATTAAAATATAAAAATAATATAATTAAATATTGAATATCATGAAGCCAATATTAAAACACACTTTAAATGACACAGCCCCCAAACATCTCAAACATTCTTATGTGCAAACTTCCAAAACACATGTCTTCATCAAGCAAAGATGGTGAAAAAGAAGGGTTTTCTTTTTTCAAAAAAGGTTTTGTTATTGTTGTTAGTTCCTGTCAAATCAGCCATTAGAGCCATATGAGGCCTGTTGGTTGTATGACTCCCTCTGCAGTTTGTAAGTAGGTTTACAACTAGAGTGAGGAGTGGCTTTCCAGAGGTTTCTAGAATACATGTCCCATCCGTCTTAGAGAGTAGAGCTAATGGTGAGGGATAACAGTTGCTGCAGCCCAACAATATTGTCAGCAATGCTCTCAAGTTATCCATCTGGTGTAGATTTGCAGAGCAAGAGGCTCTTAGAAAGCTATACATTAAACCAGAAGCATCATATGTCACAGCCTGTTTGCAAGAAATACTGTTTCACATGAAATCCTGCTTTCCTTGAGTTTCCAAGTGAGTCTTGCTTACCTGTTCCTTGACATTGGAAAGATCCAATGTGTAGTTCAGAGCAGTTTTGGCCGCTTTGTAAGGTTCCCAAGCTTCTGCCAGATTGACTGAGATCCCCATATAAATGCTGATAACCTGCAAATGAGAAGAAGCAATGTTGGTATAACTTAGAGATTCCAAGAAAGTATATTTTAATCAAATCCTCACAAAAATCAAATCCTCAAAAGCCAAATCCACAAACTTGGAGAGCCGAATGATTCTACACAGTTTCCTAGATTCTTGGGTAGGATGTGAATCATGGATGGTGCAAAGGTCCAGCTGTAATACACTCAATACACTGTGAAACTAGAGAGCCATAGTAATTGTGATGGGAGTAATAATAGTATTCCCTCTCCAATGCCAGAAATACAGCTTAATGGTGTAACATTAGAAAATATTGACCATTTCCGCTACCTTGGCAGCCACCTCTCCACAAAGGTCAACATTGACACCGAAATACAACACCTCCTGAGCTCTGCGAGTGCAGCATTTTTCTGAATGAAGCAGAGATTGTTTGAGGACCGTAGGGATACCAAGGTGCTTGTTTATAAAGCTATTGTCCTCCCAACCCTGCTATACGCCTGTGAGACGTGGACAGTCTACAGACGTCACATGCAACTCCTGGAACGATTCCATCAGCGCTGCCTCCGGAAAATCCTGCAAATCTCTTGGGAAGACAAGCGGACAAATGTCAGCATGCTGGAAGAAGCAAAGACCACCAGCACTGAAGATGGTCCTCCGCCACCAACCCCACTGGACTGGCCACGTCCGGATGCCCGACCACCGTCTCCCAAAGCAGTTGCTCTACTCCAAACTCAAGAATGGAAAACGGAATGTTGGTGGGCAGGAAAAGAGATCCAAAGACAGGCTCAAAGCCAACCTTAAAAACTCTGGCATAGACACCGAGAACTAGGAAGCCCTGGCCCTTGAGTGCTCTAGCTGGAGGTCAGCCATGACCAGCAGTGCTGTAGAATTTGAAGAGGCACGAAAGGAGGGCGAAAGACAGAAATGTGCCAAGAGGAAGGCGTGTCAAGCCAACCCCGACCGGGACCACCTTCCACCTGGAAACCAATGCCCTCACTGTGGGAGAAGATGCAGATCAAGAATAGGGCTCCACAGTCACATACGGACCCACCGCCAGGACACCAACCTTGGAGGACCATCATCCTCGGACTACGAGGGATCGCCTAAGTAAGCAAGTAATAATAGTATTAATAATATTTTTACCCAGTTATCTGGGAAATATTTATCCACTATTTCTCTCATTTTTGCTTGCTGCGTGTGTAGAATGGATGCATCGAAGTAAAGTGTCACATACAACATGGCGGCCTGAGTAGCAAGAGCAGTGCTACGGTGTTCCGGTAATGGATATGCAGAAACCTGTAGAAAGAGGGGAGCACTGATTACAAACCATATGGGAAATATTTAGCCACAACGATACCACGGTATGGCACAGATTAATCCGAATTGCCCATTTTCCTTCCCTGTCCAGCAACTCTGTCAAGACTTACTTGGTTATATATGTCATCTGACCTCAAGCGGCCAATAACCATGCTGATGAAGGTTTCATTTATGGGCACGCGGCTGAAGTAACTCTCAGGGTAATTGGGAGGCCTCTTTGCTCCTGTTTGGCTCGAATACCCCGTGCTCCGAAACAGCTTACAGATGTCGTCGATGTTAGAGTCAGCAGAGCGGGCAGCACTGGGCAAAGAGAAGAGGAGAATGTTGTAGCTCAGCCAGATGAGAATGAGAGTGTAGTTGGTGTAGTTCAGTCAGCTGAGGATGATGTTGACGGGTTTGGAGGTGAAGGGCAAGCAAGGCCTGATGCTTCTGGAGATGCTTAAACAGAGGAAATGTTGGAACAGGATGGTAATACCCCGGTTGGGAGAACGGAGGGGGATGTGGGCAATTCTCGTGATTCTCTGTGTGAAAACAAAACTGTTTTGCAAGCTGACAGGCAGAGAAGGGAGGAAGGGAAGCTAGATAAAGAATCAAGGCTGCTTCTGCGGAGGAAGGATTCCAGGTGCAAGCCTGGCTATGGGAAAGTGAGATTGAGGGAGACTATCCAAGGCCGAAGGAATGCTTTCATGCATTGCTGTCCAACGTAGCCGAAAGAGCAAGGAACTCCAGCCTTGGTTCTCACTTCAAGCCATGTCTTGGTCAAGTTTTGCTTTAAGTCTTTGGGATTTTACCATGAATTCCAACTCATGTATTGTTCTATGATTCTTGGATTACTCCAGTTGATGTTTTATTTCTTTTCTTTGGGATTAATCAAGCTCATGATTATACCCTGCTCCTTGGATTTATGTTCATATTTAACCTTTGCATTGGAGATTTATCTCTGGCTTTTGGGGCTCCTTTTATCTTGGATTTTTTACTCTTTTACTGTGTGTGCTTTTTCAATAAACTGTTTATTACCGTGTTTGGCTTCCTGGTGAGTGCTTGAACAAGGTGAACCCTAGCTGAGGTGCAACAGAGAACATTTCAGGCATCAAGTTATTTTACGTGAACCTCCAGTTACTGGACAATAACTCCTGTATTCCTTATAATTAGACATCATGATTAGAACTGATGGGAGTTGTGATACAGTAACATCTGGAGAGCTGCAGTTTGTTCTCTAGAGTGAGATTTGCATTTAGAGCCAAGGTTTGTGGATATGTCCGGCTTTAAAATGCCCTTTAACCTCAGAGCCACAAGTGCTGTTGGGTTGCAATTCCCAGTATCTCCAGTCTGCATGATGGATAAACAAAAGTGATGGGAGTTGCAGTTCAATAACATCTGAGGACCCTAACTGGGTAAAAACTAAAGCGCACCAAGCACTATGTAAAAAAAAAGTACAATTGGGCCTCCATATCCACAGACTCTCCATCCATGGATTCAATGGCCCTCTGAAGGGAACCATAAGGCTGTTGTGGCCCTTGATGAAAATGAGTTTGACACCCCTGCTTTATACCTACTCAAGTATGATGAGTGGATAGTAACACCTCCAAAACCCTGGAACCCATATCCATGGTTTCACCTACCTGAACTTATTATTATTAGTATTTGAAACACAAGATGAGTCCACAGCAGACACTCTGCTAGCTGTTGTATTGGATCACATGTCGGACACTTCCCAAGTGTCTAGGACTGTGTGATGTATTGGCAAATGATGTGTGCAGATCCCAGCAAGGTGGCCTTCAGCAGCTGGCAGATGATAATCTTGTCAGCGCCAATGGTGTTTAAGTGCAGGCTAAGGTCTTTAGGCACTTCACCCAGTGTGCCGATCACCACTGGGACCACCTTGACTGGTTTGTGCCAGAGTCTTTGCAGTTTGATCTTTCCCAAGTGTCTAGGACTGTGAGATGAATTGGTGAATTATTATTATTATTATTATTATTATTATTATTATTATTATCCCGCCTTATCTCTCCCAAAGGAGACTCAAAGGCCCAGAGAAATAATGGCAAATGAAGGACATTTACTATGTCCTTCAGGCAATTCTGTAGCATACTTCCCCTGGAAGCTACCACAGAGTTGCACCGGAGTAGCTAGCAAATTCCTAAGATGCTTTGAGAGTTCGGATCTTATATCTTAGGAAGGTGTACTTAGCTCCCTCCTATTTTTTAAAATAACCAAACCCGTTATTTTTATAACAACTGACTATATGGTTTCTGTATCATTTTTTAATCTTGCGAGCTGATATTTATTAGTGGAAGGAGGCAGAGTGCAGCAGTGGTTTCAGTGTTGGACTGTGACTCTAGAGAACAAGGCTTGAATCCCAGCTCACCTGGGTAATCTTGGCAAGTCACACACTCTCAGTCCCACTCTCAGGTTTGCCATACATTGAAAATGACCTGAAGGCACCCAAAAAGGCTCAAAGGTGCTGGTCACTCAGTTTTATCTTGTCTGTAGTATGTGTTTTAACACTTTTCTATGTAGCTTTGAAGGGCCTTTTGCCAGAAAGAGAAAAGATATAAAACAAACACTAACATGACTTGACAATGACAACTAACACTAGGCAGGAAAGAGAAGACGTTCAATGCAAAGGCAGTATTCCAGACTGTACCTGTATCTGTAGTAGGAAACAAGCATTCTCTCCCGGACCTCTCCTTCAATTTTCTGATCAATGACCAACAGCATAACTCCATACAAGTAGAGGGCTTCACACTATGGAAACAACAAAGGACAGCATGTTCACTCATACTACTACTACTACCACTAATAATAATAATAATATTTTATACCCTGCCCCATCTCATTGAGGGAACTCGGAGCAGCTGATAGCATAGGCTCATAGAATTATAGAGTGGGAAGAGACCACAAGGGCCATCTAGTCCAACCCCCTATAAGTTCCAAAGCATCATGCCGACATGATGGAGTAGATGAAATTTGGACATGAAGACCCAAATTCCACTGAATTGCTAGATGGCTGGTGGAGCATGTGAAGTAAGTAGCTTGTGCTTCCATTCTGTGGATGGCCATCTGTCAGGAGTGTTTTGGTCAGAGAGGGTTTGCCATTGCCTTCCCGAGGCTGAGACAGTGTGACTTGCACAAGGTCACCCAGCAGGATTCCACAGCCAGGTGGGGAGATTAACTTTGGCCTCTTAGTATCAACAACTGTAATGACTTGCGAGAACTGGCAATTAAGAGACCTTGGACTGGAACTCTGGTCTATGATTTGGATTTGCAGACTCAGATTTGGTTATGTTAATATTTTAAGGGCCAATATCTTTAATGTATTTAATTGCTTTTTAATGTATTTTTTATTGCTGTTGACCTGTTTATGTTAATTGTTGTGCTCTGACTGTTTCTTTGTTGGCATCTAATGACTGCCAATTGGAAGCCGTCCTGAGTACCCCTTGGGGGGTTGAAAAGGATGGGATACAAATGGTATAAATAAATACTGAAATTAAGGTCTTCTTTATTTACTACACTTATATACCGCCCCTCTCAGCCCGAACGCAGTATAGTGTAGTAAATAATTAAGTCCTTAATTCCAAGAAGTTTCATCAGACCCAAATCTTTACAAGGGAGAGGAATAGAGTAAATTTGAACAGACAGATTTTACACCTGAAAAATAATATGATACATATTTCATGGGAAGGAAGGCCTATTGAGTGCAACACAACTAACACTCATTGTACTACTTCTCTGTTATAATGATCACAGTTTTTTTAACCGCTCTCATTTTATTAGAATTTTATTGTTTTATTATGATTTTGTGTTGACACAATGTATTTGGCAGTAGGTCCAGGAGTGCTTACCAATAGTTGTTTGCCATCCTCATTAAGGAGCACGGTTTCTAAGGTTTGCTGGATATAAACTCCTTCATTGAGGTCATCCAGGTATCTAGGTGTGATAAAAACAAATAATTTAACTTCTGGAGAAGTAGCAGCTGGGGACGTTTTCCAGCCGTGGGAATGGAATATTTATTATATGTCTTGACATGAAAAACAAGACAGAACATATCTCTTTCAACTATGAACATAAAATCCCAATAAAATGAGGAGAGCTAAAATAATTCCAATCATTAAAACAGGCAAGGAATTCTTTTCCTCAAGTTCTACCTCCTCCCGTTCTTTTAAAAAATCACCAAACTTGTGGAAAGTTACTTATTTGGTGAGTAAACGTAAAGGTTCCCCTTTGACATTTAGTCGTGTCCGACTCTGGAGGGTGGTGCTCATCTCCATTTCTAAGCTGAAGAGCCGGCATTGTGCATAGACACCTCCAAGGTCATGTGGCCAGCCAGCCTGGAGCGCTGTTACTCCTTCCTAGAAGCAGTTCTTATTGATCTACTCACATTTGCATGTTTTCGAACTGCTAGTCCTCTTTATATTTACAAATTTTGCCCGTTACTTGGCAGAAGCTGCGAGTTTGTTCTCCATACATGTGTCTCCACTTTCGTGGCCCCATTTCTTAAGGTTGGCTCTGCATCTCGTGGTGCCAGAGCGCCGACTGTTCAGCGCCTTCCAAGTCACCCAGTCTTCTGTGTGCCCAGGGGGAAATCTCTCATCTGGTATCAGCCATGAGTTGATGTTCCGGGTTTTAGCCTGCCACTTTTGGACTCTTGCTTGCTGAGCTGGGCCTAACAGTGGGAGCTCCCCCTCGCTCCCCCATTTCTCTGCATAAACACCTCCAGGGTCATGTGGCTGGCACAACTGCATGGAACAGTACCTACTGCTCTACTCTCATTTGAATGTTTTCTAACTGCTAGGTTGGCAGAAGCTGGGGCTAATAGTAGGAGCTCACCTCGCCCCCCAGATTCGAACCGTCAGCCTTTCGGTCAGCAAGTTCAGCAGCTCTGAGGTTTAACCCACTGAGCCACCATGGGCTCTGGTGAGTATAACTTCCAAAATCATCAGACTACTAGTGGGACTTTATGTTGATAGTTAATGATGCCACACAAACACATTGGGATGTAAAGACAGACATGGAAATATAGTTGAGAAGGAACAGTCATGCTAGTACATTAGGTCTCGTGGGTTTTTTCGGGCTATAAGGCCATGTTCTAGAGGCATTTCTCCTGACATTTCGCCTGCATCTATGGCAAGCATCCTCAGAGGTAGTGAGGTCTGTTGGAATTAGGAAAATGGGTTTATATATCTGTGGAATGGCTGGGGTGGGGCAAGGAGCTCTTCCCTGCTGCAGTTGGGTGTGAATGTTTAGCTGATCACCTTCATTAGCATTTGAAGGCCTGCCTGAGTCTGGGAAAATCTGTTGCTGGGAGGTGTTAATCTGTGCCTGGTTTTTTCCTCTCTGTTGTTTAGCTATTATAATTTTAGAGTTTTTTAATACTGGTAGCCAGATTTTGTTCATTTTCATGGTCTCTTCTTTCCTTTCTGTGGATTTCAATGGCTTCTCTGTGTAATCTGACATGGTAGTTGTTAGACTGGTCCAGCATATCTGTGTTCTCAAATAATATGCTGTGTCCAGGTTGGTTCATCAAGTGCTATAGCAGAGCAGACTTCTAGTTGAAGTAGTCTGCAGTGCCGTTCATGTTCCTTGATTCGTGTTTGGGCAATGCTGCGTTTGGTGGTCCCTATGTAGACTTGTCCACAGCTGCATGGTATACGGTAGACTCCTGCAGAGGTGAGAGGATCCCTCTTGTCCTTTGCTGAATGTAGCATTTGTTGGATTTTCTTGGTGGGTCTGTAGATAGTTTGTATGTTGTGTTTCCTCATCAGCTTCCCTATGTGGTCAGTGGTTCCCTTGATGTATGGCAGGAACACTTTTCCTCTGAGTGGATCTTCATCGTTACTCTCGTGGCTTGTTCTTGAGTCTTGCAGCTCTTCTGATGTCTGAGGTGGAGTCTCCATTGGCCAGTAGAGCCCAGTTGAGGTGGTTCAGTTCATCTTGGAGGAGGTGGGCTGCACAGATTCTTTTTGCACGGTCTGCCAAGGCTTTAATGGTGCTTCTTTTTTGACTTGGGTGATGGTTGGAGTTTTTAGGTAGATATCTATCTGTGTGTGTGGGTTTTCTGTAAACGGTGTGACCCAATTGTTGATCTGGTTTGCGGATGACTAGGACATCTAGTAATATTCCTTCATTTTCTTTTTCCATGGTGAATTGGATGTTTGGGTGGATGCTGTTAAGATGGTCCAGGAACCTGTTGAGTTCTTCTCCTCCATGGCTCCAAATGGTGAAGGTGTCATCCACATATCTGAACCATATCGTGGGCTTTTTGTTGCTGTTTCCAGGGCTTGTTTTTCAAAGTGTTCCATGTAGAAATTAGCTATGACCGGGCTGAGAGGGCTCCCCATAGCTACTCCATCTTTCTATTCGTAGAATTCATTGTCCCACTGAAAGTAGCTGGTGGTGAGGCAATGGTGAAACAGAGCTGTGATGTCTTCTGGGAACCTCTGGTTGATGAGTGCAATGGTGTCTGCTACCGGGACCATGGTAAATAGAGATACCACATCGAAGCTGATCAGTTTGTCGTTTGTATTTAGCTTGAGATTGCTGATTTTTTCTATGAAGTGGGCTGAGTCCTTGATGTAGTGTGTAGTGAGCCCAATATGGCTTTGTAACTGTGCAGCAAGAAATTTTGCTAGGTTGTATGTGGGGGATCCAATGGCACTCACGATGGGTCTGAGTGGGGTGGAGTCCTTATGGATTTTTGGGAGTCCATAAAGCCTGGGTGGAAGGGCTTCCGATTTACATAGCTGTTGTCGTATGTCAAAGTTGATTGAGGAGTTCTTAATCAGAGTGTTGGTTTTCCTGGTTATTTTGGCAGTTGGGTCTTGCTTGAGTTTTTTGTATATAGTAGGGTCCAGGAGTTTTCTGATCTTCTCCTTGTATTGTTCTGTATGCATGATTACTGTGGCATTCCCCTTGTCTGCTGGCATAATGAGGATATCAGGATCTGAATTGAGGTCTCTGATGGCTTGTCTTTCCAGCCCAGTTGAGGTGGTTCAGTTCATCTTGGAGGAGGTGTTCCTGCCATACATCAAGGGAACCACTGACCGCATAGGGAAGCTGATGAGGAAACACAACATACAAACAAGCTACAAACCCACCAAGAAAATCCAACAAATGCTACGTTCAGCAAAGGACAAGAGGGATCCTCTCACCTCTGCAGGAGTCTACCGTATACCATGCAGCTGTGGACAAGTCTACATAGGGACCACCAAACGCAGCATTGCCCAAACACGAATCAAGGAACATGAAAGGCACTGCAGACTACTTCAACCAGAGAAGTCAGCCATAGCAGAGCACCTGATGAACCAGCCTGGACACAGCATATTATTTGAGAACACAGAAATGCTGGACCACACCAACAACCACCATGTTAGACTACACAGAGAAGCCATTGAAATCCACAAGCATGTGGACAATTTCAACAGAAAGGAAGAGACCATGAAAATGAACAAAATCTGGCTACCAGTATTAAAAAACTCTAAAATTATAACAGCTAAACAACAGAGAGGAAAAAACCAGGCACAGATTAACACCTCCCAGCAACAGATTTTCCCAGGCTTAGGCAGGCCTTCAAATGCTAATGAAGGTGATCAGCTAAACATTCACACCTAGCTCCAGCAGAGAAGAGCTCTTTGCCCCACCCCAGCCATTCCACAGATATATAAACCCTTTTTCCTACTTCCAACAGACCTCACTACCTCTGAGGATGCTTGCCATAGATGCAGGCGAAACGTCAGGAGAAATGCCTCTAGAACATGGCTCTATAGCCCGAAAAAACCCACAAGAACCATATAATAATACACTTTATTTATATTCCGCTCTATCTCCCCAAGGGGACTCAGAGCGGATTACACTACACATTTATATAGACAAACATTCAAAGTTACCTGTTTAAATCCACTATATATTTGTGTACGCTTTGGAATGCCTGATAAAATCTCGTCAAGATTTCAATGTTGTTTTCACGGAATTCATCGTCGAGATCCTGGAGGTCAGGTTTGGCTTCTAATCTTCCTTCACAAATCTCAGGTCCCTAGGAAAAGGAAATAGTTTTTGAAACATCAATAGGAACAAAAATATTATGTTGAGAATCTGAAAAACAAAATGCACTTAGGATGTGTGCACATGGCATTCGTGCATTAAAAATACAGTACGGCTCACATATCCATTCATAGGGGGAATCGTCATGGGAATATCTGATATGCAGAATGTATTTTCATTCACTGGACGAAATTTGGCACAAATACCCAATATGCCCAAATTTGAATACTGGTGGGGTCAGGGGGATTGAATTTCTCATCTGGGAGTTGTAGTTGCTGGGATTTATAGTTCAACTACAAGCAAAGTGCATTCTGAACTCCATCAATGATGGAATTGAACTAAACTTGGCACACAGAACTCCCATGACTAACAGAAAATACTGGGAGGATTTGGTGGGCATTTGGAGTTGTAGTTTTTACATCCAGAGATCACTGTGGACTCAAACAATGATAGATCTGGACCAAACTTGGCAGGAATACTCAACATGCCCAGATGTGAACACTGGTGGAGTTTGGGGAAAATAGATCTTGATATTTGGGAGTTGTAGTTGCTGGGATTTATAGTTCTATACACTATCCCAGAATACTTGTAGGGTGTCAAAATATACAAAATAATCTATGCCAGGAAAAATACTCAAGGAGCATAAAATATATGATATTCAGTATATAGTTCAGTGTAATTTATTTATTTATTTATTTATTTATTTGGTACACTTGTATACCGCTAATTTCTCAGCCTAGGACGGCGACTCAATTGCGGTTTACAGCATTTTAAAAACAATCTCAGTTTAAAAAACATATACAAATAACAAATTATTGGGCCACCAATAATAATCCCATATAGCTCAAGTTGAAATCACAATCCAGAGTTCGTTGTCCATATTTCCTGTCCTTAGTCATCAATATTCGAATTGCCACAGATTAGCCGAATGCTTGTTTGAACAGCCAAGTTTTGAGTCTCTTCCTAAACACCATCAGTGAAGAGGCTGAACGTACCTCTATAGGGAGGGTGTTCCAAAGCCGGGGGGCCACCACAGAGAAGGCCCTATCTCTCGTTCCCGCCAGCCGCACTTCTGAAGCTGGAGGGATAGAGAGAAGGGACTCTCCGGAAGATCTTAGGGTCCTGGTGGGCTGATAGGCTGAGATACGTTCGGATAGATAAGTTGGGCCAGAACCGTTTAGGGCTTTAAAGGCCAACGCCAGCACCTTGAATTGAGCCCGGTAGCATATCGGCAGCCAGTGGAGCTGGTTCAGCAAGGGAGTTGTATGCTCCCTGAGATCAGCTCCCGTTAGTATCATGGCTGCCGCCCGTTGGACTAATTGGAGCTTCCGGGCCGTCTTCAAAGGCAACCCCACGTAGAGAGCGTTGCAGTAGTCAAGACGGGATGTAACCAGAGCGTGGACTACCGTGGCCAAGTCAGACTTCCCAAGGTACGGTCGCAGTTGGCGCACGAGTTTTAACTGTGTGAATGCTCCCCTGGTCACCACCGAAACCTGGGGTTCCAGGCTCAGCGATGAGTCCAGAGTCACACCCAAGCTGCGAACCTGCGTCTTCAGGGGGAGTGCGACCCCATCCAACACAGGCTGTAACCCTATACCCTGTTCGGCCTTACGACTAACCAGGAGTACCTCTGTCTTGTCTGGATTCAATTTCAATTTGTTCGCCCCCATCCAGACCGTCACAGCGGCCAAGCACCGGTTCAGGACCTCGACAGCCTCCTTAGTGGCAGGTGGAAAGGAGTGACAGAGTTGGACATCATCTGCGTACAGATGACATCGCACTCCGAAACTCCGGATGATCTCGCCCAGCGGCTTCATGTAGATGTTAAACAACATGGGAGACAGTATTGAACCCTGAGGAACCCCACAAAACAAAGGTTGTGGGGTTGAACAGGAGTCTCCCAGTAACACCTTCTGAGACCGACCCTCGAGGAATGAGCGGAGCCACTGCAGAACAGTACCTCCAAGACCCATCCCTGCGAGGCGTCCCAGAAGGATACCGTGGTCGACGGTATCGAAGGCCGCTGAGAGGTCGAGCAGCACCAACAGGGACACACTCCCCCTGTCGAGCTCCCGGCGCAGATCATCCACTAAGGCGACCAAGGCTGTCTCGGTACCATGCCCCGGCCTAAAGCCAGACTGTGCCGGATCCAGATAATCCGTGTCTACCAAGAATGCCTGGAGTTGTGAGGCCACCACACGTTCCATGACTTTGCCCAAGTAGGGGAGATTGGAAACTGGCCGATAGTTGACTAATTGAGTGGGGTTCAGTGATGGTGTTTTCAACAGCGGTATATCAGCCTGATTTAGGCTGGCTGGAATTTTGCCCTCCTGTAAGGAGGCATTAACCACCACCTTAACCCACTCTGCCAAACCCCCTCTGGCTTCTTTTATCAGCCAGGATGGGCAGGAGTCTATGATGCATGTGGTAGGCCTCGCCTCCAAGCACCTTGTCCACATCCTCGGATTGAACCAATTGAAATGAATCCATCAAAACCGGACAAGCAGATGCTCATGTTACATCGACTGCCGTTAATATGGTATCCAGACCAGAGCGGATCAAAGCGACTTTGTCTGCAAAGAACTGAGCAAAGGCTTCACAGCGAGCTGCCGAGTCATCAGGGCACCCATCCTGGATGGTGGGTTTTAAAAGGCCTCTGACAACTCGGAACAGTTCAGCCGGACGGTTCTTTGCAGACGCAATAGGCTGCCAGAAATGATTTCTGAGCCACTTTTATTGCCGCGTCATATGCCCTTAAAAAGGCAACATGCCGTGTTTGATTTGGCTCACTCGGATCTGAACACTACACACTCTCCAGTTCCCTCTTCCTTCGCTTCATTGCTGCCAGCTCCTCGTTGAACCAAGGAGATGGTTTAGCTTGGCTACTTGAGAGGGGACTTCCGGAGCAATTGTGTATATTGCCCTGGCCATCTCCTCATTCTAGAGAGTGACCAGAGCATCAACAGGATCACCAACCGAGGTGGCGGGAAATTCCTCAAGAACTGTTAGGAATCTGTGCGGATCTATAAGTCTCCTGGGGTGGACCATCTTAATGGGTCCTCCACCCCTGCAGAGGTTGGGGGTGCAGCGAGTCTAAACCTGATCAGGTGGTGATCGGTCCATGGCAACGGAGCAGCAGTCAGCTCCTCCATGCCACCACCTTCCTCCCATCCCTGACAGAAAACCAAGTCCAATGTATGTCCAGCACTGTGGGTGGGGCCAGATACTTGTTGGGACAGCCCCATGGTTGCCATGGTAGACATGAAGTCCTGAGCCGCTCCCGATGAGGCGGACTCGGCATGGATGTTGAAGTCCCCCAGCACAAGCAGCCGTTGGGACTCCAACACCAGGTCCGAGACCACCCCCGCTAGCTCAGTCAGGGAGTCTGTAGTGCAGCGAGGTGGCCGGTACACTAGCAGAATCCCTAATCTGTCCCGGTCTCCCACCCTCAGGTAGACGCATTCAAATTTTGTTGACTGTGTCTCTATAGACCACTGCAACCCCGCCTCCCCGCCCTCCGGATCTCGGTTGGTGCTGCACAGAGAACCCTGGTAGGCAAAGCTGGGTTAAGTTTACACCTCCCGTTTCGTCCAACCAGGTCTCTGTGATGCACGCCAGATCTGCCCGTTCATCCAGGATTATATCCTGGATGAAAGTTGTTTTACCATTGACAGATCTGGCGTTCAACAGCACCACTTTCAATCCGGAAGGACTGCCATCCTGGTTACACCGACTTATCATATCAGGAGACCGATTTGGGATTACTAAAGTTGTTCCCCATTCCCTAGGTCGAATTAGAGGTCTCCCTTTCCTGTATCTCCCCCTCCCCACCACGACTTCTATGGGGGCTCCCCGGTTAACGGAACCCCCTCCCTCCTCCATGACGCAATGAGCAGCCAACATATCAACAAGGAATGCATCATTAGTTGTTTGACATATTATGGTTACGGGGTACCATAAACCTGTCCTCCATCTGTTTCCTATTCCCGTTTTATAATGCTCAAATCCCGTTGGCCTACTCCGTTCCCACTCTCCAGCGTAAACAATCAGTAGCAAGGTTAACAAGTACCGGGGGAAGGGTGATGACATAAGTGGTAGGTATTAGGGACTATCGGGAGAGTATTCCTGAAGTTTTTTGAGTGCAGATGGGTCATGCGAGATGGAATAGATAATTAAGATGCGAATTGTTTTCTCAATCCGCTCTAAGGTGCTAAAATAAAGTGCGTCATGGAGGGCCTCGATTCGATGCTAAATGGTACGTTAAGTCAAATTAAAGTGCTAAAGCTCGCAGGTTGTTAATTCGATACCACAGGAATGGTGATAGTGGTAATAATTACTACAATTAAATGCTAAACAAGTAAGAGCTAAAATACTCGTCAGCAGTAACACTGTTAGTTCTTAAAATCTTCACCGGTCACTAATATAGATGATTATTATTAGTGCAATGAGAATGGTCTGCACAGTTAGTAACAATTCACAAAATCAGAAGAGATCAGCACAGCAAAATAATCGGCACAATCTGTGGTTGGTTGCACAGTCTGAGGACTACATAAAAGGAATTAGGACATGGACAACACACTCTGTCAAAATTCTATCTAAAAATGGGAACCAGCAAAATACTACAATAATCGGGCCCAAAGATAGTCAGTACAGTCTTCCGGGTTAATAATTAGCAGATGAGGGATGAAAATCTCATATGATGGCAATAATAATAATAATAATTGTTGTGATAGAGTCTGCTGGCAATAATAATAATAATAATAATAATACCAAATAATAATAATATGAAATCCAGCATAGAGATCTCGTTTGCTGTGACACACTGTGCTTTTGTGTCAGTAAAATAATAATAATAATAATAATAATAATAATAATAATAATAATAATTGTTGTGATAGAGTCTGCTGGCAGTAATAATAATAATAATAATAATAATAATAATAATAATAATAATAATAATAATAATAATTGTTGTGATAGAGTCTGCTGGCAGTAATAATAATAATAATAATAATAATAATAATAATAATAATAATTGTTGTGATAGAGTCTGCTGGCAATAATAATAATAATAATTGTTGTGATAGAGTCTGCTGGCAATAATAATAATAATAATTGTTGTGATAGAGTCTGCTGGCAATAATAATAATAATAATAATAATAATTGTTGTGATAGAGTCTGCTGGCAATAATAATAATAATAATAATAATAATAATAATAACAATAATACACTTCTGCAGTCCGGTTCTAAATCTCAAAGATAACTGCTGTTGTATGTGTGTGTGTGTGTGTGTGTGTGTGTGTATATATATATATATATATAGGCGCCTCCAATGACCGTCCCTAACTAACAAAATATAACTGCCAGTATTAAATATTACTATATTATACTATACCTTTATATTGTAATATTATTAGTAATATTACATCTAATAAAAATATATAAATATAATATCGTATTATTAGTAATAGTTTTATATTGTATTACATTATAATAATATAATTATACATTATATTATATTATATATATTATATTATATTATATTATATTATATTATCTTATCTTATCTTATCTTATATTATATGATGAGCACAGCACAGGAGACAAGGTAGAACTGTCTTCTGGGCCCCCCTCTCTTCACTCTGGCCCATATTGTACTATACCATTATATTGCAATATTATTAGCAATATTACATGTAATATATATATATAATTATAATATCGTATTATTAGTAATAGTATTATGTTGTATTACATTATTATTATATTATATTATANCCCAATAATGGACAGAGTTAGGGTTTGGAATCACAGTGCTAGCGGATATGGAGGTCTTGTTATACTCTTTCAAGTATGGCTCATTTTAATTACAGAATAAAATAACCCAGGAAGAGGGGGAAAAGTTAAAAAGAATTCTTCAGAGTAGCTAAATTTTTACCTTGAAGTAGCTGAAATCAAATATGATATCCCCATATTTCTGCTGATCGGTTTTGTCTCGGAGTCGGAACACACTTGGAATGAATTCTGACAGTCTCAGAAATTCTGCAATTATTGCATTTCCACAAGAGACGATCCTAAGAATGGCCTGCCCACAGTGATTATTTTCAGCTAGGAAGTCCAGCATGGTGAACGGACGACAGGCCTTCAGAGGCGTCTTTTTCAATTCAAGCCCGTCTTTTCACTCTTTCCGTTATCTGATGGCAGGTGCATTGCGGAGTGCTCCTTTAAGAGACCTAAAAATCATGAAACACAGAATATATTTTGACAATATATTCTTGATTTTTCTCTTTTTCTTGGAGGCTGTAAGAAAAATTCATACCTCATATTCAGAATGAGAGCCCCTTTTCTTGACTGTGTATACAGCAAGTATAATATATGGAAACAAACATGCCAGTGTTTACACAGGGGTTTGTCTTCTTACTTGAAAGCTCCATTTGCTACCAGTGCTATAGTTTGGTGATCTCATATTAAATAGAAATCAACACACAGCCAGATCCCAGACTGTGCCTGAAAAATAAAGCCACCCCAAGAATAGAAAAGCTGTCTTTGGGATAAAGTATTCTACATTGACTCAGTATACTTGGCTTTGGTTACCTATACATGGCTGGGTCTACATTGTAGAATTAATGTAGTTTGACACCACTTTAATTGTCATGGCTCAATCCTATGGAATCTTGGGATTGGCCCTGCCCACGGTGATCATTTTTAGTGTCTTAATGTTTCGATTTTATAATGTTGTGTTGCTTACTTACATTGGTTTTGTGTTTTAGGTTATTTTATTTTCTGATTTTCTGTTGTGTTTTTGTGTTATGTTGTTTTTACTGTATTGATGGACGTCGCCTCATGTAATCTGCCCCGAGTCCCCTTCGGGAGATGGTGGTGGGGTATAAATAAGTTATTATTATTATTATTATTATTATTATTATTACTAGCCATCTCCTGCCACGCGTTGCTGTGCCCAGTCTGTGTATATGGGTTTTGTGTGTGTATATGTAAGTATATGTGTGTATTTATATTTTTGTGTATATGTGTATTTATGTGGTTATGCACCTGTGTTGTAATGTATTTTTTTTTTGCTTTTTAAGTCTCTTCTCCTATGCTTTTCAGTGTTTTTATGAGTGACTGTGGCCAAACCTTCCCTCCCTCTTTCTTTCTCTCCTTCCTTCCCTCCCTCTTCCTTTTCCTTCTTCTTTCCCTTTTTTTCTTCCTTCTCTAATGTTTCTTTTCTCCCTTCCTTTGCTCTTTGGTTCTTCCCTCCCTTCCTTTTTCTCTCTTTTTTCCTTCTCTCCTTCCTCTTCCCTCTTTCTTTCCTCCTTCTCTCCTTCCTTCCTTCCTTCTTTCGTGTATATGTGTTTTGTGTGTATATAGTGTATGTGTGTTTGCATGTATATTTGTGTATTGTGTGTGTATATGGTTTTGCGCATTGTAATGTTTTTGTTTTTTTGTTTTTAAGTCTCTTCTGCTGTGTTTTTCAATGTTTTATGAGTGATGGTCACTGTTGGCCTGATAGGTGTATTGTATCCACATCTGGTGTCAATTCGTTCAGTGGTTTTTGAGTTACATTAATCCCACAAACGAACATTACATTTTTATTTATATAGATAATTATTATTATTAGTAGTATGGTAAGGCACCAGCACTCTTTGGCAGAGAAGGCTAAAAAGTAACCTTGTAAAACAACAACTCCCACAATGTCACAACATTAAGCCACAGCAGTTAAAGTCATGTGAAACTGCATTAATTCTATATTGTAGTGGGAATCATTATACTTTTCAGATATGGTTGGACTACAATTCCCAGCAACTCTAGTTTGCATATTCAGTGGTGAGGAATGTTAAGAGTTGTAGGCCAACATCTAGAAGGTTGTATTATTTCCAATTTGTTTTAAGCACATGTGCCTTGAAGATTTATCATTATGGTCACCAACTACTTCCCAATGAGAGTCTGACCAATATTGCTCAATATTTCTTCTCTTCCTGTCACTAAGGCAAGCCACTTCCCATCCGCACCCATACTGGAGTTGCATTAATTCACCATCTTTCTGCATACTAAACCTCTTTTACCTTGCTTCAACATAAGAGAAAGTGTGTTATTATACAGTTATACTAGTTTCATTCCATGTTAACTTTCATGATTCTACACTAAGGTCTTCTGGGATCTGTAGTATGTTAGGTGCCTGAGAAGAGAGGCACTGAGGAATCAATCAGTTGAATTCTGCAACCTGAAAAGGCTCAAACGCTGTAGCTACACTGCAGAATTAATGCAGTTTGACACCACTTCAACTGCCATGGCTCAATGCTGTGGAATTCTGAAATCTGTAGTTATAGACCTATCAAAAAAGTTAACTTATACATTAAGATTAGCAAAAAGATAAATAAAAGATCTATTTGATAACAAGTGGAAACCATTCACCTGCTTCATATACAGAAGTAATTGCAAATTCAGAACACCAAACAACCAAGAAAGACTGTGGATGAATAATTAGTAAATATATTAGAATAATTATATGTAGTGGGTGAAATCAGAATAGAACGGACAAGAGCTGTATTTTTATAATGTTGTCTAAATGATGTTGGGAAGTCAGAGACTTGTATAGATCTGGGAACAGATGATGTAACAAGGTAATTGTGCAATAATAATAACAATAATAAATTATATATTGTAATAATAATAACATTTAATTTGTATCCTGCCCTATCTCCCCGAGGGGACTCAGAGCATATAAACAGACACAGAAAAACATTCAATTCCTTTGAAACACAATGAGACAGAAATTCACAGACAAAGGCAAAGGCTTCTCCTTTCATCTCCGGCTTTAGGAGGCGGTGCTCAACTCCAGCTCTGGGGGAGGTGTTAGGAATTGTGGGACTCCAAGGTCATGTGGCCAGCATGACTGCATGGAGCGCCGTTACCTTCCTGCTGGAGTGGTACCTATTGATCTACTCACATTTGCATGTTTTCAAACTGCTAGGTTGGCAGGAGCTAGGGCTAACAGCGGGAGCTCACGCCGTCTCGCAGATTTGAACTGCCAACCTTCAGGTCAGCAGCACAGCAGTTCAATGGTTTAACCCATTGCACCACCATGGTCCCTATATATATATATATATATATATATATATATATATATATATAAAATACATTATATTATTAACTTAGAATATCAGTATTATATGCTCCAGCAAAGGAATACACGCCTCTCCCCCCCCCCCCCCCGTGACACAGGTTAAAATGCTGAGCTGCTGAATTTGTTGACCAAAAGGTTGCTGGTTCGAATCCAGGGAGTGGGATGAGCTCCTGCTGTTAGCCACAACTTCTGCCAACCTAGCAGTTCGAAAACATGCAAATATGAGTAAATCAATAGGTACCGCTCACTGTCATTATGTTTAGTTTCCTGCTTTTTTTCCCTTCTCTTTATGTTTTGTGTATATTGTTTATATGCTTATATGTTTTATACTTTAATGCTATGCTGTTTATTTTATTGCAATTTGTATCTTATTTTATTGTAATTTGTTGTTCGAGCTTGGCGTCATATAAGCCGCCCCGAATCCCCGTTGGGGGAGATGGTGGCGGGGTATAAATAAAGTATATAGATCAATAGGTACCGCTCCGGTGGGAAGGTAACGGCGTTCCATGCAGTCATGCTGGCCACATGACCTTGGAGGTGTCTATGGACAACGCTGGCTTTTCGGCTTAGAAATGGAGATGAGCACCACACCCCAGAGTCAGACACGAGTGGATTTAATGTCAGGAGGAAACCTATATTTTTTGACTTAGGGTGCGTCTACATTGTAGAATTAATGCAGATTTAACTGCCTTGCCTTAATGCTATGGCATCAAGTGAATTGTCATTTTACAAGTCTTCTATCCCAAAGTGTGCTGGTGCCTCACCAAACTACAACTCCCAGGATCCCATTGCACTGACCCACTGCACTTTATTTATTTGTTGTGTCAGGGCAACCAGTCAAATTATATTACATTTCTAACAGAACAAAGCAAACAAACAGACAAAATACAAAATTTGTGAGTTTGGTAGTTGATTAAATGTCCTGGCCACTTGGAGTGCCTCTGGTGTTGCTGCAAGAAGGTCCTCCATTGTGCATGTGGCAGGGCTCAGGTTGCATTGCAGCAGGTGGTCAGTGGTTTGCTCTTCTCCACACTCGCATGTCGTGGATTCCACTTTGTGGCCCCAGTTCTTAAGATTGGCTCTGCATCTCGTGGTGCCAGAGCGCAGTCTGTTCAGCGCCTTCCAAGTAGCCCAGTCCTCTGTGTGCCCAGGGGGGAGTCTCTCATTTGGTATCAGCTACTGGTTGAGGTTCTGGGTTTGAGCCTGCCACTTTTGGACTCTTGCTTGCTGAGGTGTTCCAGCGAGTGTCTCTGTAGATCTTAGAAAACTATTTCTAGATTTAAGTCGTTGACGTGCTGGCTGATACCCAAACAGGGGATGAGCTGGAGATGTCTCTGCCTTGGTCCTTTCACTATTGGCTGCTACTTCCCGGCGGATGTCCGGTGGTGCAATACCGGCTAAGCAGTGTAATTTCTCCAGTGGTGTAGGGCGCAGACACCCCGTGATTATGCGGCATGTCTCATTAAGAGCCACATCCACTGTTTTAGTGTGGTGAGATGTGTTCCACACTGGGCATGCATACTCAGCAGCAGAGTAGCACAGCGCAAGGGCAGATGTCTTCACTGTGTCTGGTTGTGATCCCCAGGTTGTGCCAGTCAGCTTGCGTATGATATTGTTTCTAGCACCCACTTTTTGCTTGATGTTCAGGCAGTGCTTCTTGTAGGTCAGAGCACTGTCCAGAATATTTTACTATGGAGCCCCCGGTGGCGCAGTGGGTTAAAGCACTGAGCTGCTGAGCTTGTTGATCGAAAGGTCGCAGGTTCGATTCCGGGGAGCGGCGTGAGCTTCCGCTGTCAGCCCTAGCTTCTGCCAACCTAGCAGTTTGAAAACATGCAAATGTGAGTAGATCAATAGGTACCGCTCTGGCGGGAAGGTAACGGCGCTCCATGCAGTCATGCCGGCCACATGACCTTGGAGGTCTATGGACAACGCCGGCTCTTCGGCTTAGAAATGGAGATGAGCACCACACCCCAGAGTCAGACATGACTGGACTTAATGCCAGGGGACTACCTACCTTTACCTATAGCTGCACCCACCCTTGGTGTCAATAACCAACCAGTTTAATGGGGAATTCATTCCCAACCAACCCAAACCCCAGTCCTTTTTCATTGCCCTGCATAGACCTAGCAATCTCTCTTTCTACCAGGAAGATAGTAAACAAATCCCTTCCTCTTTTTTCCCCCCTAATCCTCCAATTTTGTTTTGTTCTATAATTATTTCTTTCCCCTAAAAATGCAAACAGCTGACCTGATCCTCTTCCAGCAGCAGAAAAAAACAAGAACTTTTCAAAAGGATGGGATTCAGCCTGGAATTTGCAGGAAACACCCAGAGAAAATGCAAGAAGAGAAAGCAAACCCACCACTCAGCAGCCTCTTCCTCTCGCCTTGCATCACATGGGAGCTTTCTCAGGTCATGTGAACCAGGCTCTGGGTGATGCTGATCCGCTTCCCTTTTGGAGAGGCTCCTCCTCCTCCTTTTCAGAAGCAAATGGGTGTCTGGATCCGGATCCAGCAGTGGAAAGAGACCCAGAGAAAGGGAGCCAAGCCCTGCGCCTCCCTGCAAAAATTAAAAAAAAAAAGGAAAGGCAGCCCAAGAGCCAAGGCTTTGCAAAGTAAGAAGTTGCTGCTGGGTGGATTGGATGGAAGCTTGGATGCATCTACATTGCAGAATTAACGCAGTTTGGCACCGGTTTAATTAGGAGTTCTTGCTCTTTGAACAGCCAAAGACCTTGCAAAACTCCCCCAACTCCTCCAAATATATTTGGACATAGCATTCCTTCCAAAACTTGTCCTAGTTATGCCAGCAAATGTTTAGTTTGAGCAAAGAGAAAAGTAGTTTTGACTTTCACAATTATAAGAGAAAAAGTGGGCTATAAATCAACATAATAATAATAATAATAATAATAATAATAATATGTATTATTATTTGAAACATAACAAGACGAGTCCACAGCGAACAAGATCAGTATGTTGGCTGTTGTATTGGATCACACACAGGAAATATTATTATTATTATTATTAGAAACACAAGATTCATACACAGTAAACAAGATCAGTATGCTGGCAGTTGTATTGGATCACACACAGGAAATATTATTAGTATTAGAAACAAGATTAGTACACAGTAAACAAGATCAGTATGCTGGCTTTTGTATTGGATCACACACAGGAAATATTATTATTATTATTATTATTATTATTAGAAACACAAGATTAGTACACAGTAAACAAGATCAGTATGCTGGCTGTTGTATTGGATCACACACAGAAAATATTATTATTATTATTATTAGAAACACAACAAGATTAGTACACAGTAAACAAGATCAGTATGTTGGCTGTTGTATTGGATCACACACAGGAATTATTATTATTATTATTATTATTATTATTATTAGAAACACAAGATTAGTACACAGTAAACAAGATCAGTATGCTGGCTGTCGTATTGGATCACACACAGGAATTATTGTTATTATTATTAGAAACACAAGATTAGTACACAGTAAACAAGATCAGTATGCTGGCTTTTGTATTGGATCACACGGAGGAATTATTATTATTATTATTATTAGAAACACAAGATTAGTACACAGTAAACAAGATCAGTATGCTGGCTTTTGTATTGGATCACACGGAGGAATTATTATTATTATTATTATTACAAACACAAGATTAGTACACAGTAAACAAGATCAGTATGCTGGCTGTTGTATTGGATCACACACAGAAAATATTATTATTATTATTATTATTATTATTATTAGAAACACAAGATTAGTACACAGTAAACAAGATCACTATGCTGGCTTTTGTATTGGATCACACGGAGGAATTATTATTATTATTATTATTATTATTATTAATAGTAGTAGTATTAGAAACACAGCAAGATTAGTACACAGTAAACAAGATCAGTATGCTGGCTTTTGTATTGAATCACACACAGGAAATATTATTATTATTATTATTATTATTATTAGAAACACAAGATTAGTACACAGTAAACAAGATCAGTATGCTGGCTGTTGTATTGGATCACACACAGAAAATATTATTATTATTATTATAGAAACAAGATTAGTACACAGTAAACAAGATCAGTATGCTGGCTTTTGTATTGGATCACACACAGGAAATATTATTATTATTATTATTATTATTATTAGAAACACAAGATTAGTACACAGTAAACAAGATCAGTATGCTGGCTGTTGTATTGGATCACACACAGGAAATATTATTATTATTATTATTATTATTATTAGAAACACAACAAGATTAGTACACAGTAAACAAGATCAGTATGTTGGCTGTTGTATTGGATCACACACAGGAATTATTATTATTATTATTATTATTATTATTATTAGAAACACAAGATTAGTACACAGTAAACAAGATCAGTATGCTCGCTGTTGTATTGGATCACACACAGGAAATATTATTATTATTATTATTATTAGATGAACAACAACAACATTATTATTAGAAACACAACAAGATTAGTACACAGTAAACAAGATCAGTATGTTGGCTGTTGTATTGGATCACACACAGGAATTATTATTATTATTATTATTATTAGAAACACAAGATTAGTACACAGTAAACAAGATCAGTATGCTCGCTGTTGTATTGGATCACACGGAGGAATTATTATTATTATTGTTAGAAACACAACAAGATTAGTACACAGTAAACAAGATCAGTATGCCGGCAGGACTGAAGACCAATAGGTCACAGGTTTGAATCGGGTTCCATGTCGGGAGGAAGGTGGGATGCCAATATAATAAATGAATACAAATATATAATAATAATACATATATTTTCCCCCCAGGAAATTAGACCAGAATGTCTAGCCAAAGTGTGGTCTCCTTTGCCGGCGTGGATACATGCCTTTCATCTCTGAAACACTGCCAGTCCTATATAAATACTGGAATGGAGATGGCTACCAAGGTTGCCTTTGACCTTGTGGAAAATCGCAGTGAGTTTCTCTGGGTTTTTTGAACAAATAGCTTTATTCTTGTTGCAATCACTTCTCAGGGTTTCCTATCTGTCCTGGAATGCTCAGGGAAAGAAATGAGCACTATCCATCTTTAATGTGTTGTTGAAAGCTTTCATGGCTGGAATCACTGGGTTGCTGTAAGTTTTTCAGGCTGTATGGCCATGTTCCTGAAGCATTCTCTCCTGATATTTCACCTGCATCTATGGCAGGCATCCTCAGAGGTTGTGAGATCTGTTGGAAACTAGGAAGATCCCCTTTCTGAGTGAGAGAGTTTGGCCAAAACAGAAAAAAATGAATTTCCACAGCAGTGGTTCCCAACCTGTGGTCTGTGGACCACCAGTGGTCCACAAGGACTAAAATACGGTCCGCTGCCTCACTATTACTACACTGTTGCGACAGGTCTCTTATAGTGCCGAGACTCATTAAATACGGTTTTCTGTGGGGGTGCAGATGGTGACTACTGGATGGCATATGTTCTGTATCGGAAACTAGAGCTGATGTAGTCTATCCAATGCAGTTTTCTGAATCAGCTCTCCAAATAACCAAACTGAATCTAAAGTTGGCCAAAATCTGATTCGTAACCCTTTTGGTACTAATGTTGGAGAGTGGTCCCTGGTCAAGTGGTCCCCGGCTAAAAAAGGGTTGGGAGCCACTGTTCCACATCTAGGGAAGTAATTGTACCACTCTATTCTGCTTTGGTCAGACCTCACCTGAAATGCTATGTCCAGTTGTGAGCACCACAACTCAAGAAGGATATTGACAAGATGGAACATGTCAGCTCACCCTCCTCTAGACATGGATAGTTGGGTCATTCAGTGGTCGAAATTGCATTGGATGGTTGAAAAGGGATAAATAAATGCTTTGAGTAAGAAAATAAATATTCCTTAACAACCCAGGAGCCCTTGAGTGGAAAAGAGACCAGTCTTTGTCTAGGCTCACATTGCTGTTGTTTACTCTGCCTTCACACATTCATTGTGTATGTCCCTTTAAGTCACCTGTTGACTTGTGGTAATGCCATGCTTTTCATAGGATTTTCTTCGGGTAGGTATACTCAGATATAGTTTTCCAAGTTCCTTCCCCTGAAATACAACCTATGTCACCTGCCATATGTTGGTGGTGTTCTATCCAAGTACTAACCTGGGCTAACACTCCTAGAGAAGACAAATTTTGGTGTCTTTATGATATTTAGGCCCCTGATGTATAGGTTTTTTTTTTGTAATATGCATTCACAGTGAGTTCTGCAGGATTCATTGCTGAGCCTGGAACTCCAGATCTCGGCGGTGGCCAGGGGAACTTTTGCATAATTAATACATTGTGCCAGTTGCACCCACACCTTGAGAAGTCAGTCTTTGTCACAGTGGTCCACACTCTTGTTACATTGAGAATAGACTACTGCAACATGATCTTCATGGGGCTGCCTTTGAAGACTGTCCGGAAGCTTCAAGTGGTCCAACGGGCAGCAGCTAGATTGCTCACTGGGGTGGTGTACAGGGAGCATACAACCTCCCTGTCATGTCGGCTCCACTGACTGCCAGTCTGCTACCGAGAACAATTCAAAGTGCTGGCTTTAGCCTGTAAAATCCTAAAACCACTGTCTTTTTTGTCTAAATGCACTTAATTGTTTTTGCTTTTGTATTGTACTGATGGCATCAAATTGTGCTGATATGTAGACCGCCCTGAGTCACCTGCGGGCTGATATGGGCGGGATATAAGTGATGTAAATAAATAAATAAGTGGTTCCTGCCCAGTTTACCTTTCCAAATGTATCTTCCTCTATGAGCCACTTTGGAGGTTAAGATCTTCTGGGGAGGCCCTGCTCTCGGTTCCACCTCCTTTGCAGGTATGAGAAACGGGGCCTTTTCAGTGGTGACCCCTTGTCTATGGAACTCCCTCTCCTAAGTGAAATTAGATCAGGTCCCTCCCTCCCTCTCCCTTCAGGAGAAAACTAAAAATGTGACTATGGGACCAAGCATTTGGTCAGTAATTTTTGATCAGTGTAATAAGTGAATACAAAATAGTACAATGTTGAATGGAACGGCTTTGGATTATGTTTTTGGAGTATGTGGTTTTAATGATTGGTTTTAATGTTTTTAAACTTTTTGGTTTATTTATTTGTTTGTATTTGTGCGGCTTCAAATTGTTGCCAACTTGTAAGGGTGCTCTGAGTCCCCTTTGGGGTGAGAAGGGTGGGGTGCAAATATAATAAGTAAATAATAATAAGTAAATATGACTCACAGTTAAGAATGGGGGTGAGAGAACAGGAAGTGAGAGAAACCTACCCCTTGGAATGGGAATTCACTCCTGAAAGAGTTATTATTATAATGGGAAAAAGTGTCTCCACTAAAGCTTTATCATCAATCCTTGTTTCCACAACAAGTCATTTTTTTAAAATCCAGTAATCGCAGGAACAGAAAGTGAGGTGACTCTTTTGAACAAGGGTTCAGACAGCAAAACAAACACCACGGGGGTGCTGAGCCTTCTCTATGTTATCCACACTATAGATAGATAGATAGATAGATAGATAGATAGATAGATAGATAGACAGACACTGACACTACACTTTAAAATGGACCTGTTCTGACTTACATACAAATTCAACTTAAGAACAGATTTATAGAACCTATCTTACTCATAACATTGGGACTGCCTGTATTTTTCTTTCCTGATTATATAGACCAGTGCTTCTCAACCGGGAGGTTGGGACCCTTGGAGGGGTTTGTGAGGGGGGTGTCAGAGGGGTTGCCAAAGTCCATCAGAAAACACAGTATTTTCTTTGGGTCATGGGAGTTTTGTGTGGGATGTTTGGCCCAATTCTACTCTTGGTGGGGTTCAGAATTCTCTTTGACTGTAAGTGAACTATAAATCTCATCTATCTAATCAATCTAATGCAGTGTTTCTCAACCTGGGGGTCAGGACCCCTGATGGGGTTCACAAGGGGGTGTAGGAGGGGTCACCAAAGACCATCAGGAAACACAGTGTTTTTGTTGGTCATGGGGTTTTTGTGTGGGATGTTTGGCCCAATTCTACTGTTGGTGGGGTTCAGAATGCTCCTTGATTGTAGGTGAACTATAAATCCCAGCAACTACAACTCCCAAATGTCAAGGTCTCTTTTCCTCAAACTCCACCAGTGTTCACATTTGGGCATATTGAGTATTTGTGCTAGGTTTGGTCCAAATCCATCATTGTTTGAGTCCACAGTGCTCTCTGGATGTAGGTGAACTACAACTCCAAACTCAAAGTCAATGCCCACCAAACCCTTCCCATGTTTTCTGTTGGCCATGGTAGTTTTGTGTGCCAAGTTTGGTTCAATTCCATCATTGCTGGAGTTCAGAATGCTCTTTGATTGTAGTGAACTATAATCCCAGCAACTACAACTCCCAAATGACAAAATGAATCCCCCTCCAACCCCACCAGTATTCAAATTTGGGCGGATTGGTTATTTGTGCCAAAATTGGTCCAGTGAATGAAAATACATCCTGCATATCAGATATTTACATTACGATTCATAACAGTAGCAAAATTACAGTTATGAAGTAGCAATGAAAATGTTATGGTTGGTGGTCACCACAACATGAGGAACTGTAAGTGACCGTGGCATTAGGAAGGTTGAGAAACACTGATACGGATGAAAGAAACCAAGAGATGGCAGCAGAGACTTCACGATGCAAATCCCATGCCGTTCATTGTTTCACCTGTTACAGCAATCTCTGGAATGTCTGCAACTCATTGTGATGAGGGCTTTGGTAGTTAAGTCCCTTTGGGCCTTTTAGGAATCAGTGGAATTGAAATATAAGTAAGGATTAAGATTGCAGCCTCAGAGAGAGGTTGGATGAATACCCGAGGCTACAAAGTTGGGGAACATGAGGTCAAAACTTTTCCTTTAAGGTGGTTTTCAGTCTTATGGGATTGACTTCTTTTCTTACCAGGAAAGTATAATCCAACAATCGGTGACTGGTGTTAAAGACCTATGCTTGGTACTGAGGAATTTTGAGCTGATGAAAGTATTTGGAATAGAGTGCCAAAATGGATGATCTTCTATGAAGATATTCACTCCATGCAAGCTCATGCCTTGTATATTTCAACAGTATAATTGGGGTTTTTATTTATTTTATTTGTCGTGTCAGGGCAACCAGTCAATTATATTACATTTCTAACAGAACAAAGCAAACAAACAGACAAAATACAAAATTTGTGAGTTTGGTAGTTGATTAAATGTCCTTTGACCAGTATCTGGCCACTTGGAGTGCTTCTGGGGTTGCTGCAAGAAGGTCCTCCATTGTGCATGTGGCAGGGCTCAGGTTGCATTGCAGCAGGTGGTCAGTGGTTTGCTCTTCTCCACACTCGCATGTCGTGGATTCCACTTTGTAGCCCCATTTCTGAAGGTTGGCTCTGCATCTCGTGGTGCCAGAGCGCAGTCTGTTCAGCACCTTCCAAGTCGCCCAGTCTTCTGTGTGCCCAGGGGGGAGTCTCTCATTTGGTATCAGCCATTGGTTGAGGTGCTGGGTTTGAGCCTGCCACTTTTGGACTCTCGCTTGCTGAGGTGTTCCAGTGAGTGTCTCTGTAGTTCTTAGAAAACTATTTCTTGATTTAAGTCGTTGATGTGCTGGCTGCTTCTGGTGTGAGAGAATTGGCCGTCTGCAAGGACGTTGCCCAGGGGACGCCAGGATGATTTGATGTTTTTATCATCCTTGTGGGAGGCTTCTCTCATATCCCTGCATGAGGAGCTGGAGCTGATAGAGGGAGTTCACCGCCTCTCCCCGGATTCGAACCTGCGACCTTTCGGTCTTCAGTCCTGCCGGCACAGGGGTTTAACCTGTGGGGTGACAGAGGGTGATACTCATTTTGTTTTTTCTCTTGTTAAATAATTGGTAGCTAGATGTTCTTATAGATCAGTGGTTCCCAATCTTTTTTTGGCCAGGGACCACTTTGACCAGGGACTACTCTCCAATGTTAATGCCAAAAGGGTTACAAATCAGTTT